AAACTAGATAAAAGAGATCAGTTAGTGAACTCAGAAAGCTCCAGTATTTTTGTCCGTCTTTGTCCTCATTTTTTAATTGATTGAATTTTCAAAACAATAAATAATAACACAAAAAAACAACTTATACATAACCCGTGCCAATAGTAACTATGATTAAGGACTATCCTTACAAGTAATTGGTTCAACACTCCGCTGTCCACTGTTGGGCAAAGTTCTCCCACAAGGATCTCCACAACGAACGGTCCTGGGTAGTCCGCATCCAATGCAGTATCATACAGTGTGCTTACCATGAGTTTACGTTACGTGTGCTCGCTAGCAACTGCGTAAAAAAATGACATTAATTGTATGACATATTGTGCAGCGCCCCTAGCGGCTACTTTTAAGAAACAAAATCTCCATAGAGATTTTTGACGTTTTCGCTAGCGAGCACACCTAACGTAAACTCATGGTAGGTACACAGTACAGTAAAGATTCATTATCCCATATTGCTGGTCTTTTATATTTTTTTACAATCAAATGTGTCAACTATTGCTTCATTAATTTCTGTACTATTTTATATTATCTGTACCTCTAGCATGAACAACTTTCGTCTTCGAATCGTTTGCGTATTCGACAAAATTCGATACTCAATCTTCGAATTAAACGATAACGTGACAATTTTGATTCTCAAAATAAGTTTCGTGCAACCATTTCTCATACTAAGTTCACTTTACGACACGCTCACATGGGCGCTGTTGTAGATTTCGTACGAATCTTTTGATGGCGATTCGAATACGCAAACGATTCGAACTCGCAAGTTTTTCGTGCTAGCCGTACTGTGTTCACTATAAAAGAGAGCACACACTTTATTTCGAACGTAACAAGTCCAAAGACAGAAAAGAATTTGTTATGGTGGCATAACACTGTATTTAATACTAATTTAGATGGCTATCTGTAGGCATTTGGAGCGTGAAGTTTCCAAGCCAATTTGAACCTTCTTGTGTTAGATAAAACCATAGTATAGAGGGGCAGAGTAGAACTAAGTATAACTCAAGTGACAGGCGATTTATGACTCTTATAAAAAATTGTATTGTCGAAGAGTTCGACGGAACATAAGCCAAGGAATGAGACTTCTAACTCTACTAGACAAGGTGTTCAGAATAAAAATAATATTAAAAAAAACAATTGCGTAAAAATGAACTGAAAAGATAGAAACAAGAGCCAAACAAACAGCAATGCAGGATACGGAAAAACTGGAGAGTTATGTGAACACGCAGAATGCATGTTTGAAATTCGGACTGATCGGTTTTCTGCGGGACACGGGATGTTCGTGTGAACGTTATATAAACACGTACATATACATATTACTTAATGGGATCCTGCAAAAAACGAAATATCTCAGTGAGAACAAGCCCTAAGAGAAAACTTTTTGACATCGTATTTTTTGCACTAGGGTCCATTTGACCAAAACTTGCGGCTCTAAAGTAATGTCTCCTTTGGCTTAAAACAAATTATTTCAATGATTTCCACATCGCCCTGCGGTTTCCGCTCCGCGGCCTCCACTCCAGAAACTTGCTGCATCGGCCGTCAGTTCTGCGTACTATGTACATATATATGCCCTACTCATTACCACTTCAGCTTGCTAATCCGTCGGGCTATGTCAGCAACTTTAAGACTAACACTGCTGTACTCACTTCTATTATAACATAACGGCTATAAAGGTCTTTCACAGTCGAGCCAGATATTCACGGCTTATAATTTTTTGGGTTTCTTCGACTTTATGTCAGGTTAGCAAGTATCAGAGCGTGTATAGACAAGTTCCGCTTTTTTTAAGTTAATCCAAAATGCAACATTGACTTAGAAACCTTGATAATGTCAAAATGTATGTCATAGTAAGTTGTGAGTGATTTAAAAAAAATGTGGGATAATATTTATCTTGGTTTTATTTTTTGGGATAAAATGTATCCCATTAAAATTAATCAGAGAAAATAACTTCTTTTCAAACCTAAGCGCTACTTTAATTAGACCACACCCACACACGGCAATTATTACTTGTATAGGTACAAGTAACAATTGTGTTAAAAAGAAAAGACAAATATTAACCAAAAGTGATCCAAAACCATCTTAAAACGTCGATTTGAAAGAGCTCTAACATTTGTCAATTAAATAAATTACAAAAAAAAAAATTATGCGACGCGAAAGTTTAAAAAGAAATATTTCTCAATATTGCCACTGTCTCAAATTAATTAAATGTGACCTCACTTCTTTAAGTGGAAGACAAGCGTTATCCAAAGTTTGTTATTATCATCAAATTACTATTGCCCAACTTAACAAGGACACAAGTCGCGAAGTGTATAACGGTTCTAAATAGCTACAGATACGTCATCTACGCTCTAAATGACGTCAATTTCGTCATAGTCGGATCAATATCATCAATACAAGCTTTGGACCGCGACTTCGCCTGCGAAAATTTGACTAAAAAACTTTTTTCGCACGTGACCGATTCCAAATAGGGATAAAAATTATCCCGTTTTTCAAGGTTTCAAACTATACCTATAGAAAAAATTACTATCCTTCAAAATAGGGATAAAAACTATACCATGGCTTGTTCAAGGTTTTAAACTATCTCTTAGAAAAAAATACTATCCTTCAAAACTGGTATAGAAACTATCTTATGTTTTTTCATAGCTTCAATAATATCTCATTGTATTGGATTTTTGTAAAAAAAAGCTTAATTTTGGAAACAAACAAAAGTCAGTTCAGTGGTTAAAGCTTGAAAAGATAACAGACCGACAGAGTTGCATGTTTATTAGAACGGATTATTATTGATACTGTTATATTAGTTTAAATAATAAACGTTCTAATATTTGAACTTGGCGGCCAATGGGTCTCGCCTCATGGCTGACAACTTCATAATAACATTATAATCTCATAGTAAGTTCAAAATACCTAGTTTTTAAATAACTTAACAAAATCGAATTGCCAAAGGTGGGAATTGAACCCATTCAAGAAGAAAAGTTACTTAAAAATATGATTTATCATGTTACCATGCGACTCTTAATTTTTAATACCTAGAGTTGCACATAAAATAGTATTGCAAGCAAATATGGGGCTAGTAAGACGTAGCGTGGGCAGGCCTCCCACTAGGTGGACCGACGATCTAGTGAAGGTCGCGGGAGGTGCCTAGATGCGAGCGGCGCAGGACCGGTCTTTGTGGAAATCCTTGGGAGAGGCCTTTGTCCAGCAGTGGACGTCTTTCGGCTAAAGGAACGAATGAACAATGGGACAAACAAGAGAACATCAGGCCTCCGCAACCCGTCTGGCTAGCGTGGAGAGGCCAAATCCTCCATTTGCCTCTGATATTTTTTTTATTACAAATCGACTGACCTAGACTGGAATCGACTGAACTATCTATCCACTGGCTGGGTGACTCCAACCACTTAAGTGGTTTTTTAACATTCATAATCCTGATAAAATTACCAAATGAATTACTGTTCACCAGCGTTCTTCCAAACCAGGACTGATGAAGCCGATCTCCTTTAATTAATTTGCAATTAATCTACGCCTAACTTACATAACCACAATATAAATTGGATTCAGAAGATGCTAATTTTGTACTTAGGTACTTCGCGATAGCCAACGTAGAGGAACCTACGCCGCGGACGGTACTGAACTGGATGGGTGACCATGCTGAAAATTCCCACCTCTACCGGACACCGGGACTATTCCCACCTCTCATCCCCACCGCTGCAACTCCTGTGTAGCCAGGATCTACAGCTTGACCGCCAATAACCCAACCAGTGAAGGTCAAGTTTGTCCCGGGGGAAAGTTTAACTGTCGTTGTGTAAAGCGATTTTGTGAATATTATTATTGGGAGGTAGCTAATAGCTCATAAGATATGGTGTACCTTTTCTTAAAGGTTACCAAACCTTTGTTTGTCACCTGTCATCCGCTTTGCACTGGAGGGAAGTCGAACCTTAACTTCGAACTCCTCCTATGTTATTCTGATTAATTTCTTTGCCCTGAAAGGAGCCTTTCAGACCAGCTCGTGGAGTCTACTGACTACAACGTAACTGTGGAGGTATATTCCTTTAACCAATTAGGTCGGACCTTGGCTATAATGCGTACCAAGGGCCATGTCGACACATCCGTTAACGGTAATAAAAACACCGATTAATACTATGAATACCGATTGAAATAGGCTGTAATTTATCCTGAACATTCTTGAAGAACTGTAGACTTCACTTATGCGAGTGGAAAATTAAGAGCTAGTTTAGCTTAGCTCGCACAGCTTACGCAGTTTTCCAGGTGTGTGTGGAATGGAGGATTTGTCCTACACTCCCCACGCTGGCCAGACGGGTAGGGGAGGCCTGATGTTCGCATATTTGTCCCTTAGTCGCCTCTTGCGACATCCACTAGAAGTGTGAGATTTTATTGATAAAGATCGTAGCAATCTATGTTATTGAAAAAAACCCTACATTAAGCTGGTTTTTCCGAAACTAAGAAAGAACGTAGTCATCGATTGAAGCATTGAAAACTGTGTCAAGGCTTTAGTCTTTAGCACATTTTCCGCTTGTATAACTATGTGATGTTTAATCTTGGCTATCATTCTTAACCGACTTCACAAAAAGAGGTTCTCGATTGTATGTTTTAAAATAAGGTGCAAACCAGGTATATTTAAATTTAAAAAAGGCGTTATGGAATAGGTACCTTGACGACACTGTCAGCAAAAGTGCCCATACGAGCAAATGTACTAACTCTTATGTTCTTCTGATGAATTTCGTTGCGGGTCCAATGACAGTTTAACTTTCCCCCGGGACAAACTTGACCTTCACTGGTTGGGTTATCGGCGACCGGCGGTCAAGCTGTAGATCCTGGCTACACAGGAGTTGCAGCGGTGGGAACGAGAGGTGGGAATAGTCCTATAGTAGGACTTTCCTTTCCTTCTGTCTTTCCTTCTAGTAGAGAGTTACTTTACCAGTAAAAGCAATCTTTTAACCTTTCTTCTCTCTTGTCCCCAGATCACAACCGGATGTAGAATTAAAGTGCGCCAACTTCAACGATGGGCCACAAGCAATACCTGGCCGTGGGCCATTCGGCGGGGGCCAGGCTCTTCGGGTTGGCCCCCCGCGGCGACCGCGCCGTGCCAATCAATATGCTCATATCGCAGCAAGGCAAAATAAATAGAGGTGAGTACTTACTTATACCTTGAATAGAATAGAAAAACTTAATTGTACCTACTTACTGTCAATACATAGGTACAGTGGAATCTCGATTATCCTAAATTCAATTATCCGGATACCCGAATATCCGGACCCATTCTTCGCGGCTCTAATTGTCGATTTAGGGGCTGGACCCAGTGGCGTATTTAAACCATCCAAGGCCCGTGGCAAATTTTGTGCATGGGGCCCTTGGCACATCTAGGGTTATTTTTCATGGGGGGGATAGTTCCGGGCCCCCCGGTTCGATTCGGCGCTACTGACACACTGTACAACGTTATCTTGGTTCATTGCATATCTTAAGGTCCAATATTGAATAACTTGATTTTATAAAGTATAAATTGTGATCCTCCTCTCTTCTGATTGCAGTGCCCGACAGGGTCCATAATGATCTGTTTAGCTTTAAGCCTTCAAATTCAAATCATTTATTGAATTATCTACCCTATTTTACATTATGGTGATGCAAATAAAAATCTATCTATCTATTGATAAAAGGAATGACCAACTCAATGGTCTAAAAGATGTAGGTATGTGAAAATCTTTCTATAATAAAAAGTTAATTGTTTGATAAAGTGGTTTCCGCGGACGCCGTTGCTTTTAGCATTTACATAAAACGGTTAAAGTTACAAAATTCGCAAAAAATAAAGGGAACGAAAACGAAAGAAAAAGAAAATAAGGAAAACTAGGCAACGATCTGAGGGGTCCGTGGCCGAGTCCCCCAGTTTTCGACGCACCCGTGGTCGACGCCCCCGGTCAGTTAAATTCGATTTGAAGCAATTTTTAATCAAATGTACAGTCAGGCACAAAAAAGTTTATAAACGAATAAATATTTATTAGGCCAGTAGAGGCGACTTAGGGACTACACATCAAACAGAGAATGGGCAGCAGCGCTCTCTGAAAAACATCAATCTTTTAAACTGCGATCTCCAACCCGCCTGCCTAGCGTGGAGATTATGGCAAAACCCTCCACTATAGTGGAGGAGGCTCATAGTCCAGCAGTGGACTGTAAAGGGCTGTTGATGAGGCCAGTAGAATTAAACACAAAAATGAATCTAATGAAATGAAAATAATTCCTACAAAAGTTTTTTGTTTCTTACTACTGCTGGTTTTGGGTTAAAATTTTGCTCCCAGATTGCATAAATAGCGTCAAACATGCATAGTTTAGTATAATAATTAGCTTGTGAAACTTTTTTCGTTGACTGTACTTAGTGCAAAAGCCGAAAAAAATATGATATTAAATTTATTTAAATCGGGGGCGTCCACCACGGGTGCGTCAAATACTGGGGGACTCGGCCACGGACCCGATCTGAGACACAGCTTACAGAATGATTAAGTAGGTACTAGGAACTTATTTATTACTGCAATATAAATAACAGCTCAATAAAACATGGAGGATTATTAATCTACATCACCTGTTCAAGATATTATGAACCGTTTAATAAATTACAAACAGACTATCAGAACCGATCTTCGTGATGTCGATACTATAATAATTATGTAGGTATTCAAATTCAAATTCAAATTATTTATTGCATGTCACATGGGTAAGGGTTGACAAGAACATAATATTGTACATGTGATGCCCAGTGAAGGCGTTGCGAGGTACTCTTCAACCACTGGCTCCAAGAACTGGCTATCTTACCTTCAACTGCCGGAACACACCAATGCTTTTAACATTGTTGTTTTGTTAAAAGTCTTAGGTAAGATGGTGGTAGCTAGCCAGGCGGAATTAAAACTAGCCCTCACAAACCAAATCCAGCAGAAATGTTGTCTCCACTGGGAATCGAAACCAGGACCTGTAAGGATCTGAAGCAGGTAGGCTACAGAAGTGGATAGACCAGATAGATATTTATTACAATACAATATGATTTTATGATCCTATTTCATTAACAAGAAATATCATGACATGCATTTCTTAGAAATAACATAAAACTATTTTATAGACTCTAATAGCCCTAATAAAATGAAGTAATAAAATTAACACTTTTCAGATTATATCAATTCACTAGCTTTCCCGCGAGTTCGTACGCGAGAAAATAGTTTGAATAACATTTTCCGTTGTTGCAACATTTTTCTTTACTGCTCCGCCCCTATTGGCTGTAGGGTGATGTTATAATATAGCCTAAAGCCTTCCTCAATAAATGGGCTATCCAACACAAAAATATTTATTCAAATCGGAGTAGTAAGTTCCTGAGACTAGCGCATTTAAACAATCAAACAAACTCTTTGCAGCTTTATAATATTAGTATAGAAATATCGTGAAATATTCCTTGTCATGTACCACTATTCATCGATTGAGAAATATAGACAGATTTCACTATTCGCCCTTATTCCTTTGAACGTGTATTTATTAATATTTACAGCGACTTGTTTTATAGAAGAGTTAAGCTTAGCGCATTCTTAATTTCATTTCTTTCTGTACAAAAAAGCAGAACATATTTTTTTTAATGTCTGTCTCACCTGAGACCCAAACCTACACCTACAGCTACTCGTAGAAAGTTGAAATTTTCAAGTGATTTTTACGTTGTAAGTCGTCATTCCGTCAATATACACATACCTAATTATTACAGTGAGCAGTCGTCCGCTAAGTGAAAGTACGTGGGTTCGAATCCTACCTGAGGCAGTCGAATTTTTCAAGTGAGACATTATTAACATTATGTTCTAGACTAGATAATTATAAGATTTTAAACTTTCGCGTTCCATTTCAATTAAAAACATACGGGTCGAATTGAGAACCTCCTCCTTTTTTGAAGTCGGTTGAAAAAAAATTAGTAATAAACGTCGCGTTAAGACCCGTGTCTTACTATTTTACTAGATAATTAGTTTTGAATAACAGAATAACTAAACTTAAACAGCATGTAATCCTAAAAAAATTGTAAATACAAATTATTAATAGTCCCGTTAACCCTCTGTGGTAAACGTAATAATTTGCTTGTGTTTACTATCATAAGTTATTATAATTCTTTCAAGTGTTCTTGAATGATATCAAATCAAATATATTATTTGCGAGATGATAAAAAACCACCAAATTAATTGACGTACTTTTAATTACATCCTCGTATGTCATACTTTTGAGTTTTTAAGACCAGAATGAAGTGTTTTTAAAAAAGACATCATCATCATCATTTCAGCCACAAGACGTCCACTGCTGAACATAGGCCTCCCCCAATGACTTCCACATCGCCCGGTTGGTAGCGGCCTGCATCCAGCGCCTTCCTGCTACCTTTATCAGGTCGTCGGCCTAGCTTGTGGGTAAAAATGTTGTGCTTTAGAATTATTGGTGTCAAATACCCAAATATAAAGCTATGTGTCTGAACTTATAATCTTACGCCCGTATTAACAAACATTAGTATGAGGTCTCCAAGTGCGCGTGGATGCAATCATAGAGCTCCATAACGCTGTGCGTTCGATTTGCTGCTTCACTTAAGCAAGCATCGTTTGTGAAAACGGGTATTAGAGTGAGAATGTATAGCTGTTAACAGTGTCTTAATTTATTTAAAACTAGCTGACCCGGCGAACTTTGTTCCGCCTTAATGGCAATAAATAACGGGATAAAAAGTATCCTATGTCCTTTTCCTGGCTCTAAACTACCTCCCTGACAATTTTCAGCTAAATCAGTTGAGCCGTTCTTGAGTTATAAGTGGAGTAACTAACACGACTTTCTTTTATATAATAGATAACTAGCTGACCCGGCGAACTTTGTTCCGCCTTTTTAATATAATAAGCAGACTTTTTTTTTAATTTCGAACGGGATAAAAAGTATCCTATGTCCTTCTCCTGGCTCTAAACTACCTCCCTGACAATTTTCAGCTAAATCGGTTCAGACGTTCTTGAGTTATAAGTGGAGTAACTAACACGACTTTCTTTTATATATATAGATTAGAGTGAGAATGTATTTATATTATAGTTCCAACTAGCTTTCCGCCCGCGGCTTCGCCTGTCGGAATTTTGTCTGTCACAGAAAACCTTTATCGCGCGCGTCCCTGTTTCAAAAACTGGGATAAAAACTATCCTATGTCCTTTCCCGGGACTCAAACTCAAACGTAGAGAAGTATATATAGATCGATCAGCAAAGGCAAGGAATCACAGGAAGTGTTGCAAGCGCGTGCGCATATCATGAACTGCAGCGGTGTGTGTGCGGTCAACGCCTTGTAGTTTCAGCGATTTTTACTTCATGACTTCGTGCAATTGCCAAGCCAATGTCAAGTTTTTAAAACATCATTTCGTTCGTTTCTTTCAGCCAAATGATGTCCGCTGCTGGACAAAGGCCTCAAGCATTATATTTACGTAATTATAAATTAAAAAAAAAATAATTCGTCTTCATGATTCAGTTTTCTCAATCTTAGTTATAATAAAATAGTAAGACACGGGCCTTAACGCGACGTTTATTAATGAGTTACATTATGATTAATTGAAATGGAACGCGAAAGTTTAAAATCTTAGTTATAATAACTGAAACTATTATTTATTTACCACCCCGCTATCACAATGTCAAATAAACATAAAACAAAACTCCATAAAGATAAAAGTCAGTTCAAAGTCAAGCTATAATTAGTATGAAATCTAAAATCCATCCATCCATTTCACGCGGACTTCTTGAGAAAATTTGAAGTAATATTTTACTCATATCTATTAAAGAAGTAGGTAAATCTTAAACGACAACTTATAATGTTATTTCTGAAGTCTAAAATCGATATTGCAAGGTGATTGAGTCAAAAATCGCTGACTCTCTCAACTTACGAAGAATTGCACGCGCAACATTTTGCAACTTAAAAAACTATGAAGCATGCGTATGCGCCGGATCACGTTACTTGGTCAGTTGGTGCTGTTAGATGTTTTAGTATCAATTTATTTATTTTATTTATTTATTTTATTACGTATACAAAACAGGACAATGTCCTAAGCAATACAATGACAATATGAAATAAAAAGCATTATAATGTTACAGTCAGTTAACATTCTCCAAAAGG